CCCCTTAAGCAATTTATTTCTGCATCACCTGATGGTCATAGCTGGGAAGTTTATCCATGTGTCTAACCTCAGTGTCTCAGACTTCACTTGAAATTGTTTCCTTCTTTAGGGCATTAGGAAAAAATAGAAACCAAAACAGCTGGCCTACATCCTCTTAAACAAGAATATCTGAAAAGTCAAGGGACACTATGTGGCTCAGTCACTTAAGCATCTGCCTTTGGTTCAGGTCATGATCCAAAGGTCCTGAGATTCAGTCCCTCATCAGGCTCCTAGCTCAGCAGGGAGTCTGCTTCTTCTTCTCCCTGCCGCTCCTGCCTTCTCTCTCTCTCTGTCAAATAAATAAATAAAATCTAAAAAAAAAAAAAATATTTGAAGAGTCGAGACAGTCTGGCTGGGCCGCAACCGCCATTCCCTTCCACTCATGTTCTCTGCCCAGCTATGCTCAGGCTGGGGTTCTGGTCTTTTTTGCTCCAGCACCTGGACATCCCCTGACACAACCTCTTGCAGTTTTCCATCCCAAAGTTTCATGGAACAAGAGATCAAATTAGAGTCTCCCACAGAGCCACGCCCAGCCCTGAGTGGTGCCAATTCCTTGCCTCCAGCCTCCCCCTCATCCTGTTTCCTATCCTCTTGCAGGTGGGGCTGAGAAATTCCTGGAGATCTACCACAGGGGTCCCCTGGGCAGAGGCAGCAAGACAGCAAGGGATGCAGGAAACCTGCAGTCACAGCCCTCCCTCACAGGCACTCGCACCTCCTGTCCACACTCGGAGGGCTAATCATTTCCTTAGTCCCTGTGCCCAGAGCACTGTGTTTAGAAGTTGCTCACAACACATTTTCCTTTTGATTATAATTATATGTCTGCATCTCCCAGCACCGGTCAGTGAGCAACATGAGGACAATGACAGAGGTCGTCGCATTCACCTCTGTCACTCCCTACAGAGCCTGGCATGGGGACTGGCACAGAGCCCACATTAATAAATGCTTGTTGAATTGGGAAAGGAAAGTGAAAGACCACACGGTGGTCAAACCCAAGACTCCATCTTCTTTTACATCATCCTGTTTCAGCAAGAAAAAAAAGTAAGAAGAGTCTTTTTCTTTCTCAAAACAGTCCAGCCTTCCATCTCAGAAGCACCCTGACCCAAGCATAGCTTGGCCTCTACCACCGCATACGTGTCCATGTGGCGGTGTGTGTGTGTGTGTGTGTGTGTGTGTGTGTGTGTGTGTGTGTGTGCCTCCGTCAGTCTAAGCCTCTGTCAGTTCTCTGAACCAGAATTTCAATCACCATCACTGGGCAAAAGCAACTTGTGGTACTGGGACAGTCACCCTGGGGTAGATCTCCAAAGCCAGATTCATGCATTACTTGCAGAGTCATCCTGAAACCTTCCTTTGTGCCAGGTGTTGGGTTACCTACTTGGGAAGGGAGTAGAAGCGACCCTCTCCTTACCCTCGAGGCACCCACTGCAATCCTGCCTTAACCTTGGCTGTGCATCCGCTTGGGAAAAAGAGATAAGAGGCTGCATTGCAGACCTTCCAAATCAAAATCTCTTAAAGGGGAACTCAGACACGTGCCTTTTTTAAAAAACCTCTACAGGTGAATTCCATTTCACGGGCAGGGTTGTAAGCCACTGATCTCTTGATCAATGCTGCCCCAGAGAACTTTCTGCAATGATGGAATGTTCCATATCTGTGGTGTATGTGTGGCTCTTGAGAACTTGACATATGGCTAGTGACTGAGGAATTGAATTTTTTAATTTTACTTCATTAACTTAAAGCTTTTTTTTTTTAAGATTTTATTTGTGTGAGAGAGGAGTGGAAGGGAGGGAGGAGCTGAGTAGGGAACCCTGCTGAGTAGGGAACCCATGTGGGGCTGGATCCCTGGGGACCCTGAAATCATGACCTGAGCCAAAGTCAGAAGCTTAACTGAATGAGCCCCCCAGGTGCCCCATTAACTGAAACCGCCACACACGGCTAGTGGCTACTCTGTCAGATTGCAAAACTCTAGATAATCCCAAAGCACTTCAATTTGGCTTTAAAATATTTCTCACAATATTGCTTTGTTGCAGTTCAAGTCTCCGTTCCTTTGGCTCAGTAGAAAACAATTAGTTTCCCCTCCTTAAAGACATCTCATCTGCACTGAAAAAAAACTGTTCTAGAATGAATTGGGGGGCACGGGCAGCCAGTCAGGTGGCCCTTTCAGGTAGCTGAGCCACTCCACCACCCTACCCACCTAGACTGGAAGAAAGGTACTCCTGAGTACTCTCTTTTGTTACAGGCTGACATAGGTTGGGGACACGAAAATCACTGACATGACCTGAGATGCCTGTTATGAGCCAAATTGTGTCTCCCCAAATTCATGTTAGAACCCTAACCCCCGCGAATTTATTTGGAGAAAGGGTCTTTAAAGAGGTAACTGAGGGGCACCTGGGTGGCTCAGTCTGGTAAGCGTCTTCCTTCGGCTCAGGTCATGATCTGAGGGTCCTGAGATGGGAGCTTTAGTCGGGCTCCCTGCTCGGCAGTGAGTCTGCTTTTCCCTCTCCCTTTGCAGCTCCCTCTGCTTGTGCGCTCTCTCACACATACTCTCAAATAAATAAATAATGAAATAAAGAGGTAACTGAGGTTAAATGAGGTCATAAGGGTAGAGCCCTCATCCAATGACTGGTGTCCTTGTAAGAAAAGAAGCAGCAGGGAGACACACGCAAAGAAAAGGCCATGGGAAGACACGGTGAGAGGGCAGCGCCATCTGCAAGCTAAGGAGAGAGGCTTCAGGAGAAACCAAGCCTTCTGGGAGCTGCATCTTGGACTCCCAGCCTCAAGAGTGAGAACGCTGAGAAAATAAGCATGTTTAAGCTAACCAGTCTGTGGTATTTTTGTTAGGGCAGCCCTGGCAGACTACTATAGTGCCCTTAGGAAAAGGCAGGCCCAGGACCCTACTCAGCCTTTGTGGACAAGATGTACCCCAAAAAGCAAGGACGACAGCTCTACTAGAAGCCAGATCCAGCACTATGTCGGCACCTAAGTCTTCAAGCCACCACCCTGGTCATGACCATTCTAGTGCCCCTGTGCACTGCCCGGCCCTACCCCAGCTCATGAGTCTTGCCCCCAATTCCAGGCTCTCACCTAGATGGTGCTGTCCCACCAGGACACCTTCCCTATAATCACTTCCCTGTTCCCTTGTTGACCCCACTGCACCTACCCTGCGTCCTACGAGGCCTGTTCCTTCATCCCTGTCTGTTGGGTGTTCTAAGTGTGTGTGATCTGTGCATCTTACTTTCCCCAATGGACTTCCAGTGCTCAAGATTGGTCTAGCATTCAAGATCCTTCAGAAGATCGCTCCAACTTACCTCTCTCTAACTATTCTTCCCAACCAGGCAAAGTCAGCTCATCTACGCACCACCCCTTGAACATAACGATGTTCTCCCGAACTCCCAGTCTCTAAGGCCACCGGAAATGCCACCTCCTCCAGAGAGCCTTCTCCACCTCGGCTAAATGCAGAGGGGCACAATGGCTTCCCTCTCTGTGCACCTAGCCCAGTGTCTCAGCCAGGGCGTGCACCACGGGGCAGGAACAGCTCAGCACCACGGCTCTGACAGCAGAGAGGAAAGGAGTCTAAGGTGTGTGTGTGGGGGGGTGCGAAGTCTCAATGCCATTCCGATGGTAACTCCCCTGAGTCAGCACACTCTCCACAGGTCTAAGGGGACTGTCCCTAATAAGACCTCCCTCACTTCATGTGCCAGCTGCAAGTTCAGAGGTCCCCAGGCTACAATTCAGGAGTTCCCATGATCCCCTCAGGTTCGGTAATTCACTCGAATGACAGAACTCAGGAAAGCACTTTCTTAGAACCATGGTTTTGTTACAGAGGATACCAATCAGAAGCAGCCCAAGAGATACAAAGAGGCAGGGATCTGAAAGGGTTCCAAACCTAGCCGCTAGTCCCAGCTGTCCCACCGAAATGGGACAGAGCACCCCACACCCATTGTATTCACCACCCAGGAGGCTTGCCAAAGTGTGTGTCCAGGGTTTCATTACATAGCTATTATCGATTGAAATCACTGACCCCCATGGTTGAATTCGACCTCCAGCCCCCAGTTCAAGCTGGTATCACCTGGCTCATAGCCCCAACCCACCAATCTAACGCCAATCTAATGGTTGGCCTTTCTGGCATAGGCCTCAGCCAGAGTCAACTTCAGCATAAACTTGGGTATGTGGTCTGAGGGGCCCTCCGTGAATAACAAAGACCCTCCTATCACTTGGGAAATTCCAAGAATTTAGAGACTTGCCTCCCAGGAATCAACTGACAAAAGCCAGTTAAATTCTTCATCATATAAATGATAAAGGGGACACTTCCACTAAGAAAAAAAATTTTTTTAAGTTTATCATATATATATATATATATATATGTATTTTTTTTAATTAATCTCTACACCCAACATAGGGCTCCAACTCGCAACCCTGATATGAGTCTCACGCTCCTCTGAGCCAGCCAGGCTCACCTATACTAAAAATCTTTTTCATTTTGGAAGCTGGCCTGTCCCAGGAGCTAGAATCCAACCATGTGTTCCTCATTAAGGTCACAAGACCTACTCTATTCCCAACTTGAGTCACCTTTCCAGCCCTATTAAAGGGCACACCAACCAGTCATCCTACAGACATAAGAAATGAGTTAGACACAAATAGCGTGCTCCCATCCACCCATCGCCTGCTCCCCACAGGGCCCTGAGTAGCAGACAAACCCGAGACCCTTAAGCTCTGATAACACCACGAGAGTTCTTTTTTTCATCATCTCCCTAGAGACCCACAAGAACACCTTGCAAACAGTGAAGAGGTTAAGGGAAAATCTAAACTAACCCTTCCATCTCGGACATGCAGGAGAGGGAAAAAAAGGACCCACACGAAGGGTTTAGGAGCCTTTTTTCCTTTTAAAGATTTTATTTATTTATTTGAGAAAGAGTGCGCTAGTGGGGGTAGGGGTAGGGGCAGAGGGATACGAGAAGGGAGAGCCAGACTCCCTGCTGAGTGGGGGCACCTGAGCGATCATGACCTGAGAGATCACGACCGCACCAAAGGCTGGCTGAGCCACCTAGGTGCCCCGATTTGAGAGTTTTTAATGCTCGGACTGAAAAAAATCACAGGCTGGGTTTTTCATAAAGTTATCGGTCCACCTGTAGCAGGACAAGGATCCGCCCCTCACCCAGCAAGGTCTTCGGAGCGGGGGAGCTCCCCCTGTAGTGTGGTACAGTGACACCACAATCAAGAGGCAAAAAAGCAAGAAGCAGGAGCCCCCACCTGCCAGGCACGACGCAAGGCACTTTCTAGTGTTATCTCACTTAACCCCCACTCCCACCCCATGCGGCAGGGAGCCCCATTTTACAGACGAGGATCCCGAGGCTTGGAGAGGTTCATTAAATTGGTCCAAAGTCATAAAGATGACAAAGTCATGAAGTCTCAAAGCCAAGATGAAGAAAGCCAGTCTTCTGGTCTTCCCCACTCGGCCACGCTGAATCCTTTCTCTGATCCAGCTTCCGTCTCCCGGAAGAAGTTCACTCGTATCACCCATAGCCCTCCATTTGTCCTGGTCCCTGTGAGGAAAAGGCTCAGCTTGAAGGCAGCTGTTCTAAGAGGACAGGTGAGGATCCTGACAGGCTCTTCTCTCAAACACAGCCTCAGAAGTCATTGCTCAGGCCACTCACAGCTGACCGGAGGCTCCCCAGAACACGGTGAGGTAGAGCAGTCTGCAGACACCAAGCCTCCGTGCAGCCGGTTACCGCAGCGGCAATGCTCAAAGAAGGTGAAGGATGCAGGGAGTAGTGTCAAAACTGCCACGGCAGGTCCCAGCAACCAGGGAGCCCAGAAGGAGCCTGTGGCTCCAGTCCAGGGGGCTCACAGTCCTCTGCTTGCCCTGGGATGACCTGGGGGCCTGGAAAACCTCCTGTGCTGGGCCACAGGGGCCCTCACTTTGTTAGCAGTGGCAGCAGCCCCAGCTCATTCAGTCTCTCCGTGGCTGCTGCCTCCCATCCCCTGTTAGCCTGGGGGCTCCGAGGTGAGGGATGCAGGAGCCCCTCCACCTGCACTTCAGGCATCAGGCCTGCCAGAGCCCGCCGCGCCCGCTGCTCCGCCAGCCGCCCCACGCCCACCACCAGCCGCACCCCCAGAATCTGCACCTGTCGGCAGAGGGCCGCGTCACAGGCCCCAAGAAGCTGTTCTCGCTGCCTGGCAGGTAGCTCAGCAGGCGTGAGGTTGCGCCCACTGGGAGTCAAGAAGAGCAAAGGACACAGATTGTGGACGAAACAGCGACGGAAGAAGACCTCGGGCTGTCCACAGAGGTTCCGGAAAAAGCCCCAGAACCGGGCACCGCTCACCTCTGACTGAGGGCACTCCAGTCCCAGCACTGGTCGCTTCGGGTGCTCTTGGGGTGGGGTCAACACAGGTCCCCCAATGCCCAACCAGTCCCGGACTATACTCACTTCCCCAAAGGGCACCTGCCAGGAAGGGGGAGAGACAAGAGGGTTTCAGTCTGAAGATCGGACACCTGGGTTCTGTACCAGTTGACCCCTCCATACCCACCATGAGGCTCCAGCCTGGACACCCCACCCCCCACCCCCACCACTTTCGCCCAAAGGCCTGAGACAAGGATGATTCTGGCCCTATAGTTTGATCTTGCCCATCCTTCTCCAGTTTTTTATTGTGGACTGTGATGCAGAAGAATCTGTTTGCTTCTATCCCCACTTGCCTTTGGAACCACATCCAGAGAGTATATGGGACTATCTGGCCCTCCACAGGATGTGATGGGTGGTACTGGGGCAGACAGATGGTCTGAGACAGAAAGACAGCCAGGGTTAGAGGAGGCACAAGGACAGGACTGACCAGCGCTCTCTGGGTGCCCTCTCAGCCCAGAGCCTCAAGCTGTCATTTCCATCGATCATCATTGATCACCTTTCATCCCCCAGTTGGGGTCAATAAAAGCGATTGAGCCTCCTGCCCTGAAGCCTCGTTCCCTCCCCCATCTGCCAAGCACCCCCACTGAGGGGCATTCACTCATCCCAAGGTCTGAAAGGAAAGCAGGCAGGCCCCCAGAGCAGGCTCTGTTCTGAGCCTCTCCTCAGCTCAGACACAGAAGCAGGTAAAAGCCCTGTGCCTCTTCCACACCCACCTCCATCAGGCAGTCTCCCTGAGGACCTGGTATTCCCGGTCCCTCTCTGACCCTAACCATACTCCAGGGAAAGAGGAGATCCGGCAAGGTAAGGATGGGGCCAGCGGAAGGAAGGGCTCGCAGAGGCAATTAGTGGACAGCTCACAGGGGAAACGGAACTACCATTAATGTGCTTGGTTAACTCTGGGCAGCAGGGCCTGGAGAGCGTCTGAGACCACAGGAGCCAGTGTGTGTACTGGGAGGGGCCCAGGGGGCCCGGCCCCACACATGTCCACAGCCAGGCACATGCTCCTCCCCCACCGCACCCACAGCCAAATATCCACCTAGGAGCCTCCCCCTCCCCATCCAGGGGAAGCCAAACCCTTTACCCCAGTCTGGGCCATGCCAAAGGGTCCGGGGTTCATGCCCAGAAAGAGCACTTCCTTGGAGCCCTGGCAGTATCGGGTCACATAGCTGCGGTGTGGTTCCCACGCGTACTCCACAGGATTGTAGATGATGCCCACAGGCTCCGAGAACTGTAGCTGGCTCAGCTCAGCATTGAGCCGCAGCTCCTCCTCCAGGAAGCTCTCAGCCAAGCTTCGAGGACAAGGCTGGAGATCCATCAGGGCACTGGCAGGCTCATGGAGGTGCCCCGGTGGAGAAGCCTGGGGCACAGCCATGTCACTGCCACCTGGAAAAGAGATGGACAGAGGCTCCATCAGCCTTCAGCCGGAGAGTGAGAAGGATCCAGACTGGCCAGGGCTAACCTTTCCAGGGCGCAGAAGAGACTGTCAGTCACCACCCACCCTCTAGGTCTGACGGAGCTCATCTCAGTTCTTGGTAGTGAAGGGCCCTTCCACTTCCCGCTTCAAGCATCCCTCCTCTTCCTATGTCACCTGATGAGAATAACCCATCATTCCCCCCACTCCAAACCTCCTTTCCATCAGATATAAGCCTTGAGTCACTAGTTCCTAGGCCATGCCAAGCATATGGGAGGTTTTCAATATATATTTACCAGTGGCAAACTTTCTGCACCTCTAATGTCATCCTTAATAAAACAAGCTCAACCAGGATGGGCTGTGTCCTGGAAACCAATGTGCTGAAGAATGAGATGCAGGTGCACCGCCAGAGCCCAGAGACTAATTACAGAAGGCTAATTACAATTGCTTCCAGGTGGTGAGCAATTGCTCTGTGCCAAGTACACCTCATTGATCCTTGTAACAACCCCATGAGGCGAGTGTTATTGCTCCCATGTTACAGGTGAGAAGACTGAGGCTTAGTAAGATCAAGCAACTTGCCCAGGGTCACGCAAGTAATGAAGCTGGGATATGAACCCAAACTATTTGACTCAAGGCCATGCTTTTAACCACCCACCTCGTCTTGCCTGAGATGGTTCAATCAGCCACCCTGCTAATCCAATACCCCCACCCCCACCCCCCAAGCCCAGCCCAGCTTCTTGCCCACATTCAAGAATCCTCAGTGCAGGATGATTACTGGACTCAGAATAGACTCTTACAAGCTATGTAACCATGGTCAGAGCCTCAGGTTTTCTCATCCAAATACTCAGAATAATAATATCCATTCAATAGTAGCAATTCAAAGGATGGAAGATTTTGAGGGTTGGGAGGCAAGAAGGAAGTAGAGAAGCAGAAGAGAAAGAAGGAAGAAGCGGGGAGGAGGCAGAGGGAGCACTCCAGCAAGTTCTATAGCCTACAAAGACCGTTCCTTCTAATCTTCCTCCTCACAATTCCCATGCAAACCCAGTGTTCCAGCCTGACACTTACACTTACTCTTTCAAAAATGCCTTTCCACCCCAACTCCCAAAACTCTGTACATGCCATTTCTTCAAACCCAACCAAATACACTCCTTGAGCCAATCAGGACTGACTCCTCTGCCTCTCCACACACCCAAATCATAGCCATCCTTCAAGATGCAGCTCCAATGATCCCACTGGTAAAGCCTGCCCTCCTTAGGACACTGTAGCACTGCTGAAACTTCCCAGCCCCATCCCACACAGGAGTAGGGCTGCACTGAGACCTGGGAATCTGTATTTTAAACAAAATTCTTCAGGTGACTGTGATGGTTGATGAAGGCTCAAACCACTGCACGTCACCATGGTTCGTGGCTTCTTCCTGAATTCACACCTTGCCTCCCTACCTAGATTTGAGATCAGAAGCCAGGTCCCGTTCAACTTCCCTCTGTATCTTTGAGGTCCTAGCTTTTATTAGGTAGTCAAAAAATACCCACTCAACTCTGTCCATCCCACCTTTTCAGTCCTTTTTAAAATGACCTTCTACCGGGGCGCCTGGGTGGCTCAGCTGATTAAGCGATTGCCTCTGGTTCGGGTCATAATCCCGGAGTCCCAGGACTGAGTCCCACATCGGGCTCCCAGCTCCATGGGGAGTCTGCTTCTCCCTCTGATCTTCTCCCCTCTTATGCTCTCCCTCAAATAAATAAATAAATAAAACGACCTTCTACCAAGGAGTCTTTCCTGATGGACTCCTCTCCATTTCTACAGCCCAAGTTCACTCAAGGCTCAGCTGCCCACTTTGCACTCCAACTGTTTCCGAGGGTTTGTCAGGCTCTGGGTGTGTTTCCATCATGTCTGGGCCTCCCATGGGGCAGGGATCAAGGTTCTTCTCCCTCATGAGACCTCAGGGTTGACAGAACAGCTTGATCCATCAATCTGTTCTTGGACCCTAGCCTAGGGGAAGTGGGAGAGAAAAAATGTCAGGGCCAAACTTAGGAAATCCGTCTCCAGACTGATCCCAAAGTCTTTTACTGTTTTGTCCAGATGGCTAACCAGGGCCAACTGGGCTCAAACAAAAGCCAAGAAAGAAGCCGTGTAGAACTCAAATATCTTTGGAGCCCTTGCTGTGCACATCCCCATGTAGTCCCCATGTTAGGGGGCTGGCTGCTCCAGCTCAGGGACTTCTCTCAAGTCTTAGGTTGAGCTGTGCTGGAGACAGCAAGGCTGCAGAGTACAAAAAAAAAAAAAAAAAAAAAAAAGAAGAAGAAAGATAAGGCTTTATTTGCAGCGTTCCAGTTTCAAACCTAATCTGAGAGCAAAAGACACAGTCTGGGTGTCAACCAAATCCACTTTTTTTTTTTTTTTAAAGATTTTATTTCTTTATTTGACAGAGAAGGAGAGATCACAAGTAGGCAGAGAGGCAGGCAGAGAGAAAGGGGGAAGTAGGTTCCCTGCTGAGCAGAGAGCCGATATGGGGCTCGATCCCAGGACCCTGAGACCATGACCCAAGTTGGAGGAAGAGGCTTAACCCACTGAGCTACCCAGGCGCCCCCCCCCAACTCCACTTTTAATCCTGGTTTTATCTCTAAGTTTCTCTTAAGCAAACCATTTAACCCTCCTCTCTCTGAAATGAAAACCACAAATTCCATCCAACCTACCACCAACTGTTAACTCTTTTTTTTTTTTCCCCAATATTTATGAGTCTTTTCCACGGTAGGCACTGTGGTCGTCTCTGGACAAGGAAGAAATCCAAAATGAGTAAAATGTAGGCCAGGCACATAAACTACCGAGAGAGAGGACACATAAACAACTGTAATACACTGTGGTTTGAGCTTTAACTTCCTAAACAATACACTATGAGAACCCAAAGGAGGAACCTGAAAGTCCTATCTAAAGCCACCAAGAACCAAAGGCTTAAGAAACGTAGATATATTATAAATTACAGTGTCATACTAAATGCAAAGGAAGCTCAGGGTGATCCAGCAATAAGTTTGGCCATCTAGGGTCTCTGACGCTAAATTCAGGAAGTGAAAAAGGAATCAAAGACACTATCCACTCCCCTGTCCCTTGGAAGCACTCTAGGAATCGACAGGGACAATCAGCAAATCCTTAAACTAACAGCAGTAGTACCAGAACTTGAATTTTAAACACCACTTATCCCTCCTACTGGTTCTGAGAGGGCCACCGGTCAAGGGTCCATAGGAAATCTCCGCGCCCGCCCTCGGGCTCCGTCCGACGGGAAAACCACGTCCCCGCAGGCTCTCCGGACCGGTTCCGTGGGCTCGACTCTTCCTCTGCCGGGGCAAGCCCCAGACAGAGCGAAGGTCCCCAAAGCACAAACATTCCGACTCCCCGCCCTACACCGCCCCGCAAGCCTGAAAGCCCCAGCCCTGCCCCTCAGGACCCCAGGTTCCCAAGCTCCTGCTTCCTCACCTGGTTCTGCTCTCCATCCGGCTTCCGGTTCCCTTCCCCGCCCCCGGGCTCGGAGGACAGTGGGAGTCGTAGTCTACTTTGTTTATGGAAAGAGATTGGCGTAGCCGCGGCAACTTCCGCCGGAAATACTTAGATCCCCGGAAGGCTTCTTAAATTAGCCCTAAGTGACTCTGGGGAACGTAGTTTATCTCTTATAGCAGGGCAAAAAAACCAAGAAAGTTTTCAGGGAGGCCAGGTTCCAGTAAGGACCACGAAGGTCCTGGTTTCTAGCCCTAAAGGGCAACACCCTTCCAAAAATTCATCCACAAGACTTTTCCGAACAGGATTGCGAACCAAAGAACTTCAACCATCCCCAATCTCAAAACTCACCTGAGAGTATTAACAGTGGTTAAAAAATCATTTCTAGTCCTCCTGCTGCCCCACAGATAAGAGATCTCTCTTTTGCAGACCTCCAAGGACTGTATCTAAAACATCTACAGAGGGGCGCCTGGGTGGCCCAGAGGGTTAAGCCCCTACCTTCTCAGGTCATGATCCCAGGGTTCTGGGATCAAGCCCTGTACTGGGCTCTCTGCTCGGCGGGGAGCCTGCTTTCCCCGCCCCTCTGCCTACTTGTGATCTCTCTCTGTCAAATAAATAAATAAAATCTTAAATAAAAATAAAAATAAAAAAATAATAAACCATCCACAGAGGCACTTTTGGAATCTCCTAACAATTCTTTACTAATGGTTTTGAGACTTTTCTATCTCCCATCACTGCCCAAGCCTATGTCTCCATGGCTTTCACATTTGACTTCTCTCCCTCCTCTGCCATGCAATCTACCCACCCCTATAATCTCCCATCCTTCCCAATCCTTCCCCTCAAATACTTCCCTGAATATTCCTAATCCCATGGCTGCGCCTAATAATCCATTACCTCCCAACTCCCCAATCCAAAACAATGTCCAGAGCTGTCCACTCCTAATTATGTTCTTTATTTTTTTAAGATTTTGTTTATTTATTTGACAGAGAGAGAGAGCACAAGCAAGAGGAGCAGCAGAGGGAGAGGGAGAGGCAGACTCCCCGTTGAGCAGAGAGCCCAATGTGGGGTAGGTCCCAGGACCTGAGCTGAAGGCAGAGGGCCAAAGACTGAGCCACCCAGGCACCCCCAATTTTGTTCTTGTCCTCCATCTCGGTATATTCTGTGTCCTAACTATAAGGTTTTCATTGTACCGGAAACTCCATAAGGCTGATTGCCTTCTGGATACGTCCCACCTCCTGCACACCTCAGCACAGCAATTCCTGAGATCGGGAAGAAGCAAGGTCTCCCTACAGGTGATAAAGAAGAAGACCAGTAGACCCTAGAACAGGAAAAGGTGAGAAAACAAGGATACTACCCCCTCGCCAACCTTTCCCTGCCCTCCTACCAACAGACAAAAGCAGCATGGGCTTTAAGGAAATGTGAGCAACAACCCTCTGACACCAAAGGTGAGAAACCACCCCCACCTTTGCCAGACTTTGGAAAGAGAGTTAATCATCCACCTCACAAAGTCTGTTATTTCCTGAGCTTTTGGTTGTGCCAGATTCTTTCCCTTTTTGTGTCTTTGCCTCTCACTGCCTATGTAAATGTATCTCTACCCTTACTCTCTAACTATGGGGGGTTTTGTTTTGTTTGTCTTTTAAGTAGGCTCCATGCCCAGTGTGAAGCCCAACATGGGCCTTGAACTCACAACCCTGAGATCAAAACCTGAGCTAAAACCAAGAGTTTGATGCTTAACTGACTGAACCAGTATAGCTTTTTCTCTGTATCTGTGTATCTGTCCCCCTCTGTGTACATCTACCCTGTGTCTCTGCTTCTTTCTCTGGAATGTCTGAAATAAGAGTATCCCAGGCTTCTAGAACTGACTGTCCCCTCAGGTTCTTCTGTCTTCATAGATCTATGCATTTGTATGTTGCCAAACAAAAATTGGCGGGCAAGGACCTACACTGTGCTATCATCTTATTACTTAAATTCTAGGGGCTTCACCATCCCTTGGACAGCCCTCCGGCCCACCCTACCCCTCTGCCACTTGCTTGCCAACCACGTCCAGCTTACCATGGCAGCCCCTCCACTTTCCAAGTCTGCTTCTGATAAGAAAGTAATGAGGGAAATGCATGGCAGGCAAGCAAAGATCCTCCAGGACCCTAACTCCCAATGTCAGCTTCCAGGAAGAATTAGATACCTGTTTCTGTCCCTGTAACCCCATTTATCCCAGAAGCCCAGAAATAGGAGGTCTGAACATAGGGAGAAACTGGGTCTTGGGCAACCCCACAGTGAGTCCCTGCAGCTGACCCCAGAAGGGTCTGGGAGTCTTCTCTGTCTAGGCCATGCTACACCTCCCCACCTGGTGGGTCCTTCTGAGGGAAGATGGAAGTGAGAAACCCTGCAGTGGGGGTGCTTAGAAACAGAGACCCATAAATTTTCAAGAGGTAGAGCCTGAGAGAAGAAACTTGGGCTAGGGTGAAGCCCTCCCAACCTGTCTTGTCTGTGTCCCAGGCTCCTGGCCCTCTGGGAAGTCTCCAAAAGCTGGCTGACTGTCATTTATGGATAGAACTTATGGGGTAAAAACAGAAGAAGACCTGTGGCCTGAACAGAGCCTAGAGAATTGGGTCACTCCTTTGGGGCTAGCTGGGCCTGGGTCAGGGCCCTCTGCTGCCCACCAGGCTGCTCCTGGGGCGGGAGCCTAGGCAGGAAGGGGTTAACCTGAGGGCTTGTTTTCCTTTGGTTTCAGAGAGCTCCTGAGGCTGTGTTGGGCCGTGAGCGCCATCTATCGGCCTCTGGTGATCCTAGCTCTGACTCCAGGCTCAGCGGCTCTTAGGAGGATATTTCCACCCTGTCCCTGCTTCCATGCTGTCAGAGTAGAGAGGAGAGTTGTCTAGCTGCATGGCTCAGGTGCAGAAAATAGATATGGGGATTGGAAAAGGTGAGGGCCATGTTTCCCTCTCCCCAAGTACCAGATGTGACCCTTGGTAGCTCCTGCCACCTGTGCCCTAGGGAACCCCAAAGGGCTTCTGGTGTTTGTCTTTCAGTGGCCATATCCCCAAGCTCCACTACGACGCTGGGCACTTTCCCTCTCTCAGCCCAGTAAACATTAAAAGAGCAACAGAGAGGAGACATGGCGTAGTGGAGGCCTTTAGAG